GTCATCATATTTTAAATCATAATGGTAAGTGTATCATTGACTAGATTCAAAGTTCAAAAATTATTTATTGAACTATATAACATATACCGCAAGCCATTAAATCATAAAATCAGATGGTTGTAAGTGTATCATTGATTAAATTCAAAGTTCAAAATATATTTCTTAAACTATGCGACATACCCCAAGACATTAGATTTGATATCTAATGGCTAGGAGTGATTCTAACCTCCTTAGGGCAATGGTAAATGGTCTCATAGTATACAAATAGTGAATAATGAATTTATGTCAATTTGCCTTGGTGTTTGGTGTCGGAGAATGACATTATGCATTGTTGCTATAGAACCTGATTGATTGAGCAGTTTCAGTGATGCTTATTACATGGTTTCTTAAATAAATGTGTTTTATTCATCAAAATTCATAATAGCTTCTAATTCACAATAGCTTCTAAGAGCTCTATACTAGGAACTCTGCAGGTTGAAGAAAATGGACACGTTATTGGCCTGGCCCTAAAAAAAACCCCATCATTTGTAGACCTTGTGGAGAAACTCTTCAAAACACCAACAACTTTGCCTTGTGAGGATGAAAAGGATGTCATGGATTTAGAAACCAATGATACTCAGTTGGATTCAGAAAAAGATGATACTCAATTGGATTAAAAAATCATGGATTTAGAAACCAAGGCATTGGGTAAGAAGACCAAGGCTGAGAAGCAACAGAACAACGCCATTAATTTCCCTGCAACATCTCTAACAATTGGCACATGGGAGGTAAAACTATTATTTCCCAATGTGTAACATGAAAGTACTAATTCGTTTGAAGATGAGATTGTATTGTTCCCCTTTGAATATAAGATTGTATTGTAATCTCATGTATTGTAATCTCAATGTGTAGCTTTTATCCATAATATCTAAAACTACTATTTCATGTATTGTAATCTCAATGTGTAGCTTTATTATACATAATATCTAAAACTACTATTTCAGATTGATTAGATTGTATTGTAATGTCATGTATTGTAATCTCAATGTTTAGCTCTATTATACATGATATGTAAAACTATTATTTCTGATTGATAAGATTGTATTGTAATCTCAATGTGTAGCATGAAACTACTATTTCCCCTTTGAAGATAAGATTATATTGTAATCTCAATGTGTAGCTCTATTATACATGGTATTTTGTCGCTTGCAGCATTCATCGTCACAAGCCGCCACAATTACGGGCACGGTTTTTATGCGAATCGCATGCGTTGAGCTGAACGCACAATAAACGGCACAGTTTTCACTCGAATCGCATGCGTTGAGTTGAGCACACACGCGGTGAGCAACAAAGTTCGTACGGAGGGAAATTTGGTGGCATTTCTTACGCACATGTTTGGGGTAACGTAGGGCAAATAGTAGGGTGCACATTTGTACACAAGCCTAGAAAAACGGCACGGCTTCCATGCAAATCTCACACATTGAGTTGAGCGTGTGTTGTGCGCATGTGCAACCCATGTTCCCCCAAACATATGCGCAAGATGTGCCACCAAATTGCCCTCTGTACGAAGTTTGGTGCACACTCTCAACTCAAAGCGTGTGATTCGTGGGAAGTGCCCTTTTTTTTCCTGCAATTGTGGCGGCTTGTGCTCAACTCAACCTGTGCGATTCGTGGTTTTTTGAAAGCAATTGTGGCGGCTTGGGCACACCCTACTAATTGCCCCACATTCCCCCAAACATGTGTGCATGAAGTGCCACCAAAATTGCCCTCTATACGAAGTTTGGTGTATATGAGCACCGTGCGCACTCAACTCAACGTGTACAAATCGGTGAAAAATGTGTCACCAAATTGCCCTCCGTATGAAGGTTGGTGCACATGCTCACCGTGCGCACTCAACTCAACGCGTGCAAATCGCGTGAAAACTGTGTCGTTTATTGGCACGCTATTGTTGCATCGTTAGGTATCCACCGTAAGCCTAGGTATAGATATTTTTAGATAGTGAATGGAATTCTTCCATTCTATTCGTTTTTTAGATAGTGAATGGAATTCTTCCATTCTATTTGTTGCTACTGGAAAAAATTATCTAGTTTGTTCTAGCTAGCTATAGTGAAGGGAATTCTTCCATTTATCTAGATTGTTCTAGCTGGCTCATGATCTGTGATCTGAACGAGTCGCACATATACCCTAGTACGCGTTCCTCTACGTTGAGGTCATCCTTGATACGTTGAGGGCATCCTCGAAGAGTGGAAGATTTCGTAACATTTTTTATTAGTTGTATGATTTCATTTTTTTATTAGTTGTCTGATTTCATAACATTTTTATTAGTTGTCTGGTTCTAATATCCACTTTCCTCCTTAATTGTCTGTTTTTAATATCCACCTTTCGTAACACATTATTATTAGTTGTCTGATTCTAATATCCACCTTCTTCCGCCTAGATATTAGTTGTATGTTTCTAATATCCACCTTTCGTAACACATTTTTATTAATTGTATGTTTCTAATATCCACCTTCCTCCGCCTAGATATTAGTAGATATTAGTTGTCTGTTTCTAGTATCCACTTTCCTCCATCTAGATATTAATTGTCAGTTTCTAATATCCAACTTCCTCCGCCTAGATATTAGTTGTATGTTTCTAATATTTACCTTAGATTTATTGTCTGAATATTAATTGATATTAATTGTCCACCTTCCTCCGCCTAGATCAGTATCCATAGTATACATAATATCCACCGCATACATAATATCCACCTTCCACGGTATCCTAAGTATTCACCGTATACATAATATTCACTTTCCGCTTTTCGCGGTATCGTTGTCTTGATATTAATTGATATTCCTCCACCTAGACCGGTATCCACTGTATACATAATATCCACCTTCCGCGGTATCCTAAGTATGCACCGTATACATAATTATCCTAGGTATCCACCTTCGGCTGGCCATAATATTCACCGTATACGTAATTATCCTAGGTATCCACCTTTGGTTGGCCATAATATCCACTGTATACATAATATCCACCGTATACATAATATCCACCTTCCTCGGTATCCTAGGTATTCACCGTACACATAATATCCACTTTCCGCGGTATCCTAGGTATCCACCTTCGGCTGACCATAATATCCACCTTCCGCGATATCCTAGGTATCCACTTTCGTGGCCAGTCGGCCTTCCACAGTATCCTAGGTATCCACCTTCGTGGCCAGCTGGCCTGAGGATATGGTATGTATCCACCTTCAAGGGCCCCTTGGAATACCTTCTGGGGCCCATCGGGATCGGTATCCTAAGTATCCACTTTTGTGGCCAGCCGACCTGAGGATACGGTATGTATCCACCTTCAGGGGGGCCTCGGGATACCTTTAGGGGCCCATCGGGATACGGTATCCTAAGCCTTCCGTGGTATCCTAGGTATCCACCTTCGTGGCCAACCGGTTTGAGGATACGGCATGTATCCACCTTTAGGGGGCCCTCGGGATACCTTCAGGAGCCTTCGGGATACCTTCAGGGGGCCCTCGAGATACCTTCAGGGGCCCCTCGAAATACGTTATCTTAAGATATCCTAATATACCCACCTTCAGAGGCCCCTTCCTCTGCTTAGATTTGTTGTCTTGTCTGTTTCTAATATCCACCTTCCTCCGCCTAGATTTGTTGTCTTGTCTTATTATCCATATCCAATTTCAAGGGCCCTCGAGCCATGGGAGAGGTATCCACCTTCAGGCTTTAGGAGCCCTCGAGATACGGTATCCTAAGTCTTAATATCCTTCAGGGGCCCTCAAGAGGCCTGGGAGAGGTATCCACTTTCGAGGGCCACCTTCAGTCTTCAGGAGCCCTCGATCAAGATATGGTATTCTAAGTCTTAATATCCATATCCACCTTCAAGGCCTCGAGATACGGTATCCTAAGTCTTAATATCCATATCCACCTTTAGGGGCTCTCGAGAGGCTTGAGATATCCATATCCACCTTCAGGGCCTGTAGATACGGTATCCTAAGTCTTTATATCCATATCCACCTTTAGGGGCTCTCGAGAGGCTTGAGAGAGGTATCCACTTTCAGGGTCTATCGGCCTAGGATATCCTAGGTATCCACTTCAGAGGCTAGGTGGGCCTGGGAGAAGTGTCCACTTTCGGGGTCGATCAGCTTAGGATATCTTAGGGTGGACTTTTGGGGTTGATTAGCCTAGGATATCCTAGGTATCCACGTTCAGGGGTTAGGTATCCACTTCGGAGGCTAGGTGGGCCTAAGAGAGGTATCCACTGGGAGAAGTATCCATTTTCGGGGTCGATCGGCCTAAGATATCCTAGGTGGACTTTCGTGGTTGATCGGCATAGAATATCCTCGGTATCCACCTTCAGGGGCTAGGTATCCACTTCAGAGGCCGAACGGCCTAAGATATCCTAGGTGGACTTTCGAGGTCG